TTACACCAATAGGGGTTTATTGACCAATGATGGCTTTAAGAGATAGGAATTCATTTTGATCACTTTACAGGAAATCAAAGATTAAGGTAGCTAGCCAGGTGTGGGATGTGGTGGCTCACACCTGTATCCCAGCTACTCAAGAAGCTGAGGTGGGAGGATCTCTTGAGTCCAGGAGTTTGAGAACATCCGGAGCAACATGACGAGACCCGTTGCTTTTTTTTTTTGGAGATGGAGTTTTGCTCTTGTCGCCCAGGTTGGAGTGCAGTGGTGCAATCTCGGCTCACTACCTCTGCCTCCCGGGTTCAAGCAATACTGGATGCCTCAGCCTCCTGAGTAGCTGGGACTACAGGTGTGTGTCACCATGCACAGCTAATTTTTTTTTTTTTAAGACGGAGTTTCACCACATTGACCAGGCTGGTCTCAAACTCCTGACCTCAGGTGATCCACCCGCCTCGGCCTCCCAAAGTGCTGGGATTACAGGCGTGAACCATTGCACCTGGCCTAATTTTTTGTATTTTTAGTAGAGACGGGTGTTTCACTGTGTTAGCCAGGATGGTCTTGAACTCTTGACCTTGTGATCCACCCACCTCAGCTTCCCACAGTGCTGGGATTACAGGTGTGAGCCACCACGCCCAGTGCTCACGTTTCTTTTCTTTTCTTATTTTTTTGAGATGGAGTTTTGCTCTTGTGTCCTAGGCTGTAGTGCAATGGTGCAATTTCGGCTCACTGCAACCTCTGCTTCCTGGGATTAAGTGATTCTCCAGCCTCAGCCTCCCTAGTAGCTGGGATTACAGGCATGCTCCACCATGTACAGCTAATTTTGTATTTTTAGTAGAGACAGGATTTTCCTATGTTGGTCAAGCTGGTCTCGAACTCCTGACCTCAGGCAATCAGGCTGCCTTGGCCTTCCATAGTGCTGGGATTACAGGCGTGAGCCACTGCACCTGGCCTAATTTTTTGTATATATATTTTTAAACTTTTTCTTTTATAAGATGGGGTTTCACCCTGATGGCCAGGCTGGTCTTCAACTCCTGACCTCAGGTGATCCACCCGCCTTGGCCTCCCAAAGTGCTGGGATTACAGGTGTGAGCCACCGCGCCCGGCCCAATTTTTTGTATTTTTAGCAGAGATAGCGTTTCACTGTGTTAGCCAGGATGGTCTTGAACTCCTGACCTTGTGATCTACCCACCTTGGCCTCCCAAAGTGCTGGAATTACAGGCGTGAGCCACGGCGCCCAGTGCTCACGTTTCTTTTCTTTTTATTTTTTTGAGATGGAGTTTTGCTCTTGTGGCCCAGGCTGTAGTGCAATGGTGCAATTTCGGCTCACTGCAACCTTCGCTTCCTGGGATCAAGCGATTCTCCAGCCTCAGCCTCCCTAGTAGCTGGGATTACAGGCATGCTCCACCACGCCTGGTTAATTTCGTATTTTTAGTAGAGACAGGATTTCTCTATGTTGGTCAGTCTGGTCTCAAACTCCTGACCTCAGGTGATCCGCCCACCTTGGCCACCCAAAATGGTGGGATTACAGGTGTGATCCACTGCGCCCAGCCCTCATGTTTCTTTTAACCTTTTAAAATGTGGCTGCTAAAAATCTTAAGATTATATTTGGTTTACATATTCTACCGGATAGTGCTGGTCCAGAATAAATAATGATAGCTAACATCTCTTGAGTGCTTATTATTCCAGGGACTTTTTTTTTTTTTTTGACAGTCTCACTGTTGCCCAGTCTGGAGTGTGGTGGTGTGTGATACAGGCTCACTCCAACCTCCACCTCCCGGGTTCAAGCGATTCTCCTGCCTCAGCCTCCGAGTAGCTGAGGTTACAGGTGCGCACCAGTGCACCTGGTTAATTTTTGTATTTTTAGTACAGACAGCATTTCGCCACGTTGGCCAGACTGGTCTCGAACTCTTGGCCTCAAGTGATCCACCTGCCTTGGCCTCCCAAAGTGCTGGGATTACAGGTGTGAGCTGCCGTTTCAGGCCCCAGACACTCCTGTAAGTATGACAGTTACTAATTCATTTAATCATACAACAATCTTATATGGTTTCTAATTCCCATTTTACAGATGAGGAAACACACACAGAAGTTTGGTAACGTATCTAATGTCAGCAAGCCAGTATTTAGCAAGTGAGCATTAATTCAGGTAGCCACGTGTTGGGGCCACATACTCAAACTCTAGAGTGTGCTATTACCAGAAAGAACGCTAGTTTGGTTGAAAGCCCTGGGTCTGAGGTCCAGCTCTGCTATTTTTAAGCTGTGTAGCCTTAGGGAAGTTAAGCCTCCATCGCCTCATTTATAAAAATGAGATAATAGTCACTAGCCTCTCTCATAGACTCACTAACAGAATGATCTAGAAGTAGCATACTAAGGTAGTTAAAATGGACTCTGGATTGAGCAGGGTTGCTCACGATGATAATCCCAGCACTTTGGGAGGCCAAGGAGGGCAGATCACTTGAGCCCAGGAGTTCGAGACCAGCCTGGGCAACATGGCAAAAACCCATCTCTACCAAAAAATTAAAAAAATTCGGGCCGGGCGCGGTGGCTCAAGCCTGTAATCCCAGCACTTTGGGAGGCCGAGGCGGGTGGATCACGAGGTCAAGAGATCAAGACCATCCTGGTCAACAAGGTGAAACCTCGTCTCTACTAAAAATACAAAAATTAGCTGGGCATG